CGATGATGTACTCGGTCCTGACTTCGACTCGATCAACATCCAGCGCTTGGGTCCTTTGGAGGGTCGTAGCGACCCATTCCTACCCGCGCTCGTAATAGCCCTCTCGTACCACCCTTCTATAACCAACATGTGCCTCAGCAGCTTGAGTTGGTCAGATTTTGGGTCTCGCGTCCTGTGGCATTCCATCATCACCGGGTTTCCCCACATAACCTCGCTCGAGTTAGAGGCTGTCTCCCTTGGAGTGGATGAGCTTTGCTCCCTCCTACGTGCATTCCCGAAACTCACAGATCTGAGCGTGGACGAAGTCGAGCTTTCAGGCGTCTTCCCCGCGCATGCTAATACCCAAATGTTCGATGTACAAACCATCCGAAATAGTCAAAACGGTCCCGAAATATCGGCTTTATCTATCAGCGTTGGGGAAGGTACCAATACCCTGGGATTTTTTACTCAGATACATTCCCCCGTCTCACTTCGTCGCCTTGACAATCTGGTGATAGATGGTACAGGAGGGGAGGATGTCGTTCATCAGATCGCAACTCTGCTCGATATCGCGGAACCTTCCGACTTGTCGATTCGTTGTGTAGATTTTCATCTTGGTAAGTTCTTGTACCTCACTGAATTCATTTTCTAAATACACCCATATAGCACGGTCGCCACCTCTTAACATTGCAAGTGTCCAATATCTTGAGGTGATCATTCCCTTGATTGATGAATACGACTTTAAGCATACAAACGATTGCCTGAAGTGGTGGGAGTCGACGTTTAGGCAGGTCCCAGAGGTGAACAGCCTGACCGATATCTGCATCAAGGTTGATATCGCCCCGAGGATGTTCCATTCCCTGCCCACAGGAGGAAAGGCGCTTTCATGGATTATGTTTGATGAGGCTCTGTCGGACCCAAAGTTTAAATTGGACAAGTTCTTGGCAGTCCCAAGACCTTTGGACATGTCTGACATCACCTTCAACCCGAGGTTTTATGATGATTGGCTCAAATCCGAGGTCCTGGTGGAATGCTTCGAGCGCCATCAAAGCCTTAGTCTCCGATGGGAACCTTAGTCTTTACTGGCAACAACGTTGTACATATTTATCGCATGGCTCACATTATCAATGCATTTATTTCTAGAACCGATAATCAGAAGATAGGCAACACGGTCTAGGGATGATCACCGTGCCATCACGGATACGGCCATAGGGTAGACGGTCAGCAACGGCTACGGTAGTTCCCGTAACCCTATCGTTGATTCCCAATTAGCTATTGAAACGGTACAAATGGTCATATTTACGGTCGTCACAGCTGTTCCTATGGCGGTGTATAGAGTAGACTAGAACAATTCTCGTAGACCATCACAAGCATACCTAGAGCAGTGTTGGATCTTAAGCTATGATCAAGGTTCGAAATCCAATTTAAGCCCTTAATACTTATCAGGGGGACTCAACTGTCCACAATTCTTGCGTGAACCGTGCCATCGTTGAACCACAACTTGCGTCAATGTCAGTGAAGTGAATCTGGGCAGAATTTTCTGAGATTGATCAGGAGTGTTAAGAATAGAGCGCGTGAGTTAACCAGTCTAGAAAGGTATTAACTCAGATGTGGGCTCGGGAAATAAGAGACGCGTGAATTCACCTAGAAAGATATTAACTAGGTAACAACAAGTGTATGTACAGTGAAACAGTAAGTAAAGTAAAGCTCACCTCAGATGTGGGCTCGGGAAATAAGAGACACGTCTAAGGTGCAATGTGTAACTACGCGGTATATATATCTAAGATGTTTGACAGTCCAAATCTACAGAGATAAAAAAAGAAAAGAAGGCAGCATAATTACCACTTAGTCCATGGGTATATACAGGCATGACTACAAGGCAAACTTGCCTCTCCAACAAGGAGGATGTCAATCATTTCAAGTATGGAAGCTGTTAGAACTCGCAGTTCACAGGTAAGCGTAAAGGAACTAATGTTCACGGCAAGTATGCTATCGATGCCCTACTAATTACACTGCTTTTATACTACTAAAATATGTAGAATATACTAGGATGAATGAGAAATGGATCATTAAGAAAATTAGTAAGCGTCCCGGGGAATATGGGGAGGACGAGCCAGAATATTCATGCAATTTGCATTTCCAAAATAGGAATCCGTATTCTTACAGAAACCTGTCTCCCTCCCTGTCGATCATCCTTGCCCGCTGGAACATAATCCATTGTGTTGTACTTCTCTTGACATCCATATCAGTTGTTGGATGACAAGACACTAGATAGTTAACTCCTTTCATTTTTGAAAACAGATATGTCAGAATGGATGTGGCAAAAAAAAAATTTCTGTTCCGCAAAAACAAAAATCATTGAAGTAGAGGTTGATTACTCTTGGGTCTTGATGAGCGCACCATCTACTTTTAGAGATGTTTCGAGTTAAGATATCAACAGTTTTCCAATGAATCTGTCATTGAACTGTTCAATCGCAGACGGCATTGAGGTTGACGCGTTCGCGGCAGGGCAGCAAAGATAAAAGAGGAAATTTGTATTTGTCAGCAGCCGTCGAGCGCCGTCGGACCGACGGAGAAGTTTACAACAACTCCAATCTCTTTCAGTGATTGCTCCGATTTGTTGCATGAAAGGAAAGTATTTAAACAAACGCCTGGTAATGGTCTCAATCTGCCGCAATAATATTGGTTCCTCCCCCCTCCCTCCCTCTCCACACTTGTCACTTCCTTACGTGGCTACATCTGTTTCTTCAAATTTAGCGGGACAGGTACAACGAGCAATCGACCCTCTTTCCCTTATCGAGATGTAAAGCCCAGATTGATAGCCCTGCCTTACGTAGCCGAGAATCTGTCCCTCCAGGATCGTTTCAACAGCTCTCAGCTTGGCTAGTACGACGTCTAGATTCCCCACGGTATTCGAATCAATCCATTCTGCTGCATCGCTTTATGCTGCGGTCCTCGCTCTACTAGTTGTAACCGCCTTAGGCGGTGCGGTGGTGTTCTCACGCAGTCGCCCTGATTGATACTGATCAACGTTCGATGCTTATCTACAGATTAGATGTTCGAATTTGATACTCGCTCGCAGTGGGGTGTCCTCTCAGCACCCCTTATGTCTGTTATCCACCTGTAAAAAATCTCCAGAATAGGGCTAAATCAGACCGAATCTCATCGTTGATGTCCAATAACATCTTAGTGGGGATACTGTCTGGTTACCCCAAGTTGAAACATCTGCCAAGACGGCTCAAGGCTATACGGGACCTCCTGACTGCGGTTACCGACTTTCCGAAGCTATCTACTGATGTCTATCGTAATTTCTGCCTCATACAAAAAGCACACCTTCATTTTTTCCATCATCATTCTCTCTCCTCTCCTGGTTAGTTGTAAGGTGACTCTTACGCTTTACGATCATGTCTCTACTGGATCATGGTGCGCGTTTTAACTAAGTGCTGACGCATGTGGCTGATGCGTGTTTTCCACGCTATAGTGCAAACTCTTGTTGCCGACGTCTCACGAGAAGACTCTCCCTATGGATATATTCCATCGAAAGGCGTCGCCCTCACATTCATTATCCTATTTGGAATATCTACCTGTACGTATTATCAATTCCTGGGTCTCAGCCTGTTATCGGTTATGCTGACCACTGTCTTACCAGTAACTCACACGGCCCAAAGCATTTACTTCCGCATGTGGTGGGCATTCCCGACTATTATCCTTGCCGGATGCCTCGAGATTTTAGGATGGAGCGGGAGGTTTTGGTCAAGTATCTCTCCGGGGCTAAGTAATCCTTTTATGATTCAGTAAGTCTTTACCTTTCGCTCCCGGTTTACCGCCTGAGCTAATCGTTGGAATAGAATAACGGCTACGATCATTGGACCTACACCACTTGTCGCCGCCAATTTTCTCATCCTTGGAGCTATAATTCGTATCCTGGGCCCTGTTTATAGTAGATTGAGCCCGAGAGCATGTGAGCGCTTCCCTTATTCTGGCCTTCGACCTCGCTCAAGAAGTTTCATGCATAGATTCTATCATATTTGTCAGCTGTGTGAGTACATTGAAATAGGCAATGTCGCTTGTCGTTCTTATTGATCCCAGGACATTGTTTCACTGGTGGTGCAAGGCGGTGGTGGAGGTATTGCATCATCCGCGTCCGACCGCAATGACCTTCAAGGTGCCAAGCTAGTGAGGACCTACGTGTTTTCTTCTAGTGTGTTGATCTGACGGTGCTATGGAATATAGGGCAGCAACGTCATGCTTGCCGGTATTGTCTTTCAGCTTGGTATGTCTCGAAACCCTTCGATTTCCTCGACGTCTCCTGACGTATTTTCTTGGCAGTGGTCATCACATTCTACGCTATCCTCGCTTGCGAATTCCTCGTCCGCTACAAGCACAACCGTCCTGTATCCAGACTGTTTACGCGCAAGACACGGACCGATTCGTTGGTGACCCTCTCGTCGCCTAATCCTTCCCGTGGAGTCATGGATACAAGAATAAAAACTATGATCTTCGCGCTAGCATTTAATACCTTGTGTCTCTTTATTCGGTACGTTTCATTGGATCTACACCATTCGCATCAAAACTTATAGACATGACTTGACAGTGCAATTTATCGTACGATTGAACTCGCTGATGGTTGGAACGGTAGGATCATCCTTACAGAGGTTTACTTCAGTATGTCGCACCGTTTTGATCAATACGTCGATTCTTGACTGATTCTCGCGATTCTCAGATGTTCTCGATGGAGCCATGGTGGTCTTGGCCATCTATACGTTAAACTTGGCGCACCCTGGCTTCTTGATTGGTCGCACCATGGGAAGAAACACGGGTGCTGAAGACGCAGAGAAGAATGACAGCGCGCTTGAGCTTGGCACGCTGTAAAGTATAGTCCGGGTCATGGGAATTTTTTTGACGGACATGTAGGCTTCTAATGCCCTGTAGCTTTAGTTAGATGCATATAGCATTAATTTATATTGAACAAGGCGTCGTACTCATAATTTAAAAAGTTTTCTTGTAATCGGGCCTATATGTGCCCCATGGCTGAGTTGGTTACAGCGTCCGACTGTTAGTTTCTTTGATGTTATTATGATGCAATCGGAAGGTCGAGAGTTCGAGCCTCTCTGGGGCAGCTCGGTCTCTTTTTCTTGGTAAAATTTGGACTTTGCTTGTGCTGTGATTATTTATGAAACTATTCAATAGTGGATTGTAGGTTCAAGCATCGACTCTGGCGACAAAATTCTCAGCTTCTTATGAAAGAACATATTGGGCCATTACCGTGACACCAGCACTTCTTCCGACTTCGTCAACATACCATTCGTTCGTCATAAGAAAAAAAGCCGAAGCCAACGTCTAGCCAGGACGTGTTGCAAACCAAAATTTACCCATAGCGATCTATTTGCACATGGCGACCACTTACAGTATTCTCAAAACCTGACGGCATCGTCTTAAACAGTAATTCGAATAGATCGATAGCTTTGATGGAACTCTGATGTTCAGAATACCATATTGTCGGACATGTCGGGCAAACAGAGAAATCTCGATCGGGCAAGTTGATTTTGAAGTGGCTGTGCGCTTTCAAGTTCCTCTTTTTCTTTACTCTCATTGCCCGTCTTTTCTACAATGGTGAATGAATGGCCATTATGTGTGGATGCGAGACCATTGGGGACCAGCGAAGTCATTCTTCTCTTTCGTCATCATTGATACAGTCCGAGTCGAAGCACGTTGTCTTGCCACCGACAATAATGCCACTTTGCAGCAAAATTCCTTATAAATACTTCGCCTGAGCGACATCCGTAGCATTAAGAGCTCGCTGGTTAGAGCCCCAAGAGAGTCATGTCCACTTCATTGAACAAGACGGTCGACATCTACGCCTACGAATTCCTCCCCAACCGTGAGTCCCAGGTTCTTGTCTTGACTTATTCTGATTTTTATCCTAACGACCCTTGCCACTCCAATCAGGCTCTTATCGAAAACTACCATTTCGCTGTGCTTACCACCACACCTGCTACCCCTACCCCCGGCCGGACAGTACACGATATCAACTGACAACCTTTCACAAGCTAGGGAAGGAATATCATGTGTGGTATTCGGATTCACAGCCAGGGACGTTCGTGGTATTCAAGCTGGGGGACATGACATATAATGATATCACGGAGAAGGACCTGATGAGGATCGATGCGCTGTTAGACAGCTTATGTAGCCGGAGATGAGCGTTGCTGAGAAAAATTGGGCCCTGCTCGTTCATTTGTCATTATTGCTATCTCATTCCTTGCTAATGTATTTTTCGACTTCGGTCGTGCTGAAATAGCTCTGCAGTGTTAACTGAGCTTCTCGTCCGTCCGTAAAGGTTCGAAAGGCAAAAGGGATGGTGTGGGAATGATGAGTACACACGATCTGGTGAGATCGACGCTTGACTTCTAGTTGATGTAAGATGCGATTGTAAGCGCTTGATAGATATTGGACTGTCGCCCTCGTCGTTGTGAGCGAGGCAAGGCCTAATAAAGGAAAGCACCGCTAGAATACTGGGTCTGAGCGTTGGCTCTACTTTTTAAAATAAGAGACGTCTGCTGGCGATCGAGCAGCCTAAGCTTAAGTATTTTGTTATCATGCTCTAACGAAAGATTGTCTCGTAGAGCGTTGTCAAGGATAAGGAGCGTACAGACGTCTCGAGATCTAAACTTGAAAGTCTAGTGTTGTACACCCTAAGCATACAAGGACCATATTTTGAATGTAGCATAATATTTAGCAAACGGAGTGTAGTACAACAATCTATGATAATACCAATAGCAACGAAAAGCCGCTCAGCCACCCATCCTCTGTATTTTGCGCCACGACTTGACTGGCCCAGTCGACTGGGAGGCATCCTCCATAACCACATCTACATCTGCGTCCTCCACGTTAGTCACCTCGACCTCTGGCATATCTAAAAACCTCCTCAATGGATCCTGCCAGAAACTCTCCGCGCAGTCCACATCCGCGATGTCAGGAAAATTTACTATTGGGGTAAACTCCGGTTCGGCGTCCTCTGTGGGCGTTGGTGGCAAGCTGGCCCTACTCGTTTTGAGAATAGCTAGGTCGGCTTCGAGAGCGGCGATGCGGCGTTCTTGATCTTTGATCTCTTCTGTGCGAGTTTTGAGGAATTGAAGGACGTCTTCGTTTGGAGAAGGGGGATGATGGGAAATAGAATAATCAGGAGGAGGAACGACGTCGTTTGGAGTTTCGGGGAAAGCCGGCGTAGTCGTTGACCAGACCTTTGTCTTCCTCCACTCTTCTAAACAGTCCGTTGCGCACCGGCCCGAAGCGCCTGGTGACGTATCCCAGACCCAGTCCCTGTCACGTTCTCTGAGACCCTCCAGCCACCTACCCAGCCCTATCCCACCGTTGATATCTTCGTCCAGAAGCTTGAAGCCTTTATGTCCTTTCAAAGCCCAGCGTTTCCAGTCTCCAGCCTATCAGCTAATAAAGAAAAATTAAGTCAATACAAAACACATACCAAACTTGACCGCGTCATTTGCATACTCCACCTCGCCGTACATCTCATGAAACTCTCTCACGCTGTCCGGATCAGATAAGAGGTAACACAAGCGATACCTCACCAGCAACCTATCAAATGTCGGGCACCTCCATCCCTTCACCATACCTCGTCTCATAGCGCTCCTCGCCTCTTCCAAAAACTTATCACATATCCGAGAGATATGGAGGATTCCGGATTTGAACTGATCCCATTCTCCCGAGTCTAGAACGAGGCGAAGGGAGGTCCATTGGAAGTGAGCGGCGAAGAGGAGGGGAATACGGTATCCACCGGGTATCACAGTCGTTGTTTCGTCAGCAGATGTGATGGTGGCCCACATGTTGCGCTTTGGGGGGACGGAAAATGAGTGCGTAATGAGGTATTCGATAATCGTGGCCTTGGACATGGAGCTGGCGTCGATGTAGTCGAGTTCTGCAGGGTTCTGCCAACCATGGTCAAGAGGAGCTTCGACGGGGAATTGAGCGTCGGTAGGCTCGTCCTTGATGATCTTTACAGATACACGATTCCGTGTCTGGCGCGACTTTTTTGACTCGTTTGGGGCTCCCGTCATCCTTCATGCAGTCAGAAAATGGTGACAATGTATGCTCCACGATTACCTTTTTTATCAGGGAACAAGGCTACTTGAACATTCTACAGTATATTTGTATCCTTTGTTTCTCCTCGAGAACGAAACAAAAGAATCGGGGCAGTGCGGAATACTGGGTAGCGACGGTGAGGAGAGGGGAATATCCGGATATTTCCGTAAATAGCAGATCAATCGGTAAAAGAAAAAAGCCAAAGGGACCTTTCTTCCGCTATCCTTCCAGAAGAGATTACGAGCATCAGATTGGAATGGTTTTAACCACATCCTACTGGATACCAAGTAAAGAATAACAAAATGATCTGATTTCACGTAGACGCCACCTTCTGCACGACATTCATAATTCATAAAAAAAAAAAGGTAGTTCTTTGTACAATGTAAAGGAATAAACATACGATAGTTACTGTGGCTTCGCGACTACGCCTGTCGTAGTTGCCAGTGGCTCAACAAGGGCCCGCAAGAAAGCAAAAACTGAACCTCCTTAGCTGCCAGCTTCAAAGACTGCATTAACTCTACGTTTAATTCGTCAAAATGCTATCAACTTTACTCAAGCTCTACTGTTGATACGCTCGCTAGTGGTTATCAGCTAGGACTGAGACTCGTAACAATTGCAGCGAACGGTCTGACACAATCAATGACCATCGATTCAAACCCAAGCTTCCTCCAACCGCCAGCAGTAGCCTCAATGCCTAACACTGAGGCAGACACTGCCGAGAATCTAGTAAAGAGGCGCAGCCAGTAGCAAGCTCGCGTAGCTGCGGCTCGCGGAGGGCGGACGGATTTTCGGAGAAGAGTGGCGCAAAGTTGATACCTATTTGTCAACCTCCTGCCTGGTTCTGCCCCCATCTCCACATTCCCTGCTCCGCCTATTTGCCGTAGTCCTCTAGTGGTCCTTGCACCCTTTGGCGGAGAGTGCTGACTGCTCGTTCATCTTCCGGCATGATGAACACTTGCGGTAGAAACAGTGTCGCCTTTTTTTTTTTTTTTTTTTTTTTGCATTTGGCAGTGACTGAACTTTTCTAATGCACTACTATGGTCGCCGTATTTGTCAAGTCCTGTTGATAGTCGCACCCAAGAGAGCAACGCGAATTTTATATTTGCGGTGTCGTTGTCAGCTTTCTTTCTGATTTTTATTGCGATGTATATGTTTCTCTAGTCATCTTTGCCAGCTACAAGAGCGGACGATCCATTCAAGGTTGAACAACATAGCTCTTCACGGCTATGAAAATTGGAGACATGAACCCATTTGTTGGTATTGCCGACCTTTCGACGAAGGGATTGAAGAGCTCATTTTATATATATATTGGGGGGGGGGACTAAATATCCCTCTCAAACCATCCAGGTTTCATTCTAACCCAAACCTGTGTAGATAATCCTAAGAGCACCTTGGTGATGACGCGTCAGGCGATGCCGATGGGATCAATCAGCATCTCTGGGTCCATACGCATGAGATTTTCGTCACTTTTGGGATCACGAAGCTTGGATCGTGCCTGGGAATGGTTACCGATGGCCGACGGCGAACACTGATACTCTGCCATTGATTGGCTTGGCCGCTGTCGTCGATTATTTCATGGTGGGTGCTGTTGCTCTGATGCAGATTCAATATCAATATGTCTCCGTTGAACTTTTTTTTAATTAGCGCTGGGAATTATCTCGAAGCTTCGAGCTTCCGAGTTTGGAGTTATGGTGGAGTAAAGAAAGATTATCATCGTCATCATTTTGCGTTTCGCGTTGGCTAGGTCTGTCCATAGTTTATTTGGTATTTGACAAGGCTAACAATCTAACGTCGTTTGTACCAGAAAATATCTTCTGGTTTGCAGAGTTTGCATGTTCTTGGACGACTAAAATCTGATTCATGACGGTATCGTCATTCCCGAGTTCTATATAGGAACATACGGGGGTAAAATATCCCCGTCATCAAATGCTGACCGCATGTGATCATTATGTAGCGTGCAGACAACTTCAGCTGCCGTGACCCACACTATCTTCAAGTTCCTCCGATTGTTGTCGTATTGGTT